ATCGATGTTTCATTTCTGAAAATATACCATCTTAATTACCGGCCAAAAGTTTCGAATCACCTGCCACTTTTCATCAATATTAAATCTGCTGCTAATTTTTTATAGATTTGAAGTTTATTTCAATTCTACATTTATCAATTGATTCGGACGATAAAAAATTCTCAAAGCCGCTGACTTTTTTCTGGAAATTTTTGTGTAAATTGCAATGCTCGGTGATTCCAAACTGTTGCCCGGTAGTGTATATTCTTTGCAATTCTAGAAAATAGGACTAGATGCTTTAAATTTTCATTGTAGGTATTACCAATTCATACTCAATTGAAATGAGACAGAAAATGATAAAATAGTTACAAGTATTGAAAATAAATCCACTGATATAAACGACATTATTTCCAAACAAATACTTTGCTTCAAGAGCAACTTTAAGAAGCAAAAACTAAATCTACCAAATAAAAAATGACAAAATAGATAGAAATATTAAAAATAAATTTATTATTATAAAGGGCATTATTTTGATCGCTCTAAAATCTTCAGGAACAGCTTTACAAAGCAAAGACTAAATCTACCACTGCAAACAACGTAAACTATCAAAACGCTACAATCTTTCGAGAAGAACCTCCGAACACATTTGAACCCTTAATTCCCTCGAAGAGAAAACGCATCTGCAACGCTTGAACTATCGTTTCCATCGTTCGTTCGAGTCACGAAAGAACGTGCGTTTTCCATCCGCGAAGAAAACCGCGAGAAAGTTTGAAGATCGTTGCAACACACGGAAAACGTGTGATCTGTCTACCAATGTTTACGTCGAATCGTAGGAAAAAGGGAGAAAACGATGCGGTCGTGTTTGGACCGTCCAAAATAGCGCTGAAAATTATAGCATCGCGCAAATAACGCAGTTTCACGTGGAACGGTTTCGGTAAAGGAAAAATCCGAGTATTTTTCTCTGTTGTTCGTAGACTTTCTGCATCGTGTAAGAAGCGAACGCGGAAACTCTGGTTACGTTTCTTTCGAAAATTATGCGTTTGATCGGAAGGAAGTTCCGGACAGACATTTTTCTAGTCTGTTACATTTCGATCGAACGTGTAACGCTGTCTCTGCCTACTGTAATAATTATCTTTTTATCTGTTCCGCCGCTGTCCGACTATGGTTATCTGCTTCGATCGGGATCTAATTGGCGATTGTG